GGGGGAATGGGAGGGGGGAGATGGATTTAAATTAGTAGAGATCACAGACTATTTTCTTCTTCCCCCTTGATCCTCACTTGAACTTCAGCCTCCAGCTAGAGGGAGCAGAAGGGCAGGTTAGCAGAGGCATCTTTTAGCCATCGATGAAAGCAGGAGGCCTTTTTCTGACCCTACGGCTGTGGTCTTCCAATCGGCTGCCAAAAGACCTGGGGATTCCATCAGAGAAGCAGCGGCTATTTAAACTCTCCAAATTCTGACCCTGAAGCATCACAACACAGCTGGCCTCCTTCACCGGCTTCTTTCTGGTTAGCGTCCAGACTCTTTCAACAGCAGCCCCTTTGGCCGCACAGCTTCCTGCCCTGGGAACCCACTTCTGGAAGAAGTGCCCATCTGCTAATTTAGGTGAGCTTTTGAGGAGTCTTTATTTTTTCTGTTGCAGCTGCTCACACAAGGGTAGGTCCTACCTGTTGAGGGATGCATCTTGATGGCGGAATTGGAGTGGGTCAACTTGGCTACAAGCCCCTTAATACGACGAAAAGAGAAAAGAAGACTAAAATATCGAATGTCTCATCGGCTTTAGATTATTTCTGACAGTCCAGTAGCATTCCTTCTAATTGTGAGCTCAATGGCTGGGTTCGCACAAAACACTCAACCCAGGTTAACAAACCACCATTCGCTGGCCATCCCATTGCAAGGGATTTGGCAAGCTTATTCTCTTACAATGTGCTCACTGGTGAAGGTGTTGATCGGTCACAGAACTCCCCTCATTTTCTCCTCCCCAAACCATAGCTTTGCTTAATTCAGGATATTTCTGTTTCCTACCTATCCCACACAATCAACAGAGAGTCTGATTATTTTTGTTGGAAGAAGAAGAGGAGGAGCAGGAGGAGAAAGAGGATGAAGTAGTAGTAATACTAATTCATCTCTTCAAGTTTTGATTGACAACCACTCAGCAGAGACAGTTAAAAAGAAAATTCTGGTTCCCCTCTCCAAAAAAAAGCAGGAGCAAAACACATTCAAAAAGCCTTATCACAAGGGAAAATCGGCCACTCTCCCATTACTCTCTTAAGATCCAGAACTGAAATGCAGAGGTTTTAATGAATCCCAAGTTTTTCTCAGAGCAAAGCAGTCCCCCCCCCCCC